CAACGAATGCATTGCATCTAAAATTACACTCCGCAATCATACTTCACTTTCATTTAAACTTATCATTGGAAGAAGCGGTACTTCCCCAGCGTATCTTGCTAGCCCAACAAAAAAATGTGCATTTCCACTTGGGGCATTGAAAATCTCCGTTCAAACTGTATTTTTGTCTTTTTTCCAGAAACCGAGATATTGTTTTTCTTTCAAAGATTTAAAAATGTATCTTGCAGTCGAAAATATTCATAGAGAATCATATTAAGCACGGACATATTTTGGTTGTTTCTCTTTTAAAAACAAAAACAAAAAATTATCAAAGTTTTTTAAACGTTGCTATGCGGATATGCAGTCTCTTAACTTTAGTCATTCATATCCAAAGAGGCACAACTGGCGTTCATTGTGTGGCTTCAGAGACAATCAAATTCAGAGACCCCACGCTGCTGTCCTCCTAACGCTCAGATTAGCCTTATGATGACCGATGATAAAGGAGTTGAGCAGTGGGTTCAGCAACCCAAACCTATTTTAAAAAAAATAGATAAATAAATAAAAAAAAACTTGTCCTGCAAAGATCTTACTCGAGCATTGATGCATCATCGTTCGGCGAATTTTTTTTCAACAAGTTGCGCATCATCCATCATTAGGTGAAAAGTAGTATTTACCCCCGAACGAAACTTTTACCTTGCCCAATTACAATACTCATGCAGAGGTGGATCCAGCAATTTGGCAACACCGGATTTCCTCCATTTAATCCTATGCTAAAAAATCGATTCTTGTCGGATCACTCCTCCAAGAATCGATACATTTCCATAGGTTTAAATGGAGTAAAGACTATGTTGCCAACTTGCTGCATCCGCCAATGTATTCATATTGCTCGTGCGGGGCATCTAAAATATCTTCACCTTCCGGCCGAAGTATCACAAGCGCCATGCGACGTTTAAAAATGTCCGCGCCATTTTATTTTTCTTACAAAGAAATTGCTCAACGGAGCTGTCCGAAAATTTCTCTGAGTTGTCTTCGTACTGCCGATAAAATTCAGTGCAATTTTCAAACAGATTTAACCATCAATTTCTCGGTAAAAAATAAAATGGCAGCGGAAATCTCTAAACGCACATGGCGCTTGTAATAATTTTGCCGGAATGTGACGATAGATGGATTGCATAAAAAGGAACCGGCGCAATTACAGTGTTGTTAAAATGTTGCTTTTTGATAATTATCTAAAACATCTCCCAAAATAGCAAATAGTTTTTGCATCCCACCAAAAAATTATTAATTTTAAAAGAAAATAATCGTGTAAATTTTACTATTGTACATATATTCAGTATTTTTAAAAGAAAAAAAAAGAATTTGCACGATTTTGAACACACTGCAATGGAAAAAAAACACGTTGGATCTAGAGTCCAGACTCTTAAAAACATCGACAAGAAAAAATACTCTTGATTCAATCGGATCTTTGCTTAAACCAAGAACCAAGCCTCTTAATTTGAGCGGATTTCCTTTTGATTTAAGCTTAAATCTGATTGAATCAAGAGTAGTTTTCCTTGTCAATGATTTCAAGAGTCTGGACTGTAGATCCAACGTGTTTTTTTCCAGTGTGTGTTCCAGTGCTGGTTCCTTTTTGCTAAATGTGGTCCATATTGTCTCAATGCGGCCTCAAGCGCATTCTACCACTAAATTTCACTCGTTTGGAAAATCTTATGGGTTGCATGATTTTTTACACAGTGCATCCTTTTCCTCTTCGGGGTCGTCGCTGCCCTCGCCCTGACCCACGCTGAAGCAAGGGCCGTCGCCATGCCATTGGCTATGCCGATACCGCAGCCGCACATGGCCATGGGTGGCAATTGGATGATGGGTTCGCCGTTCACGCGCTCTGCCGCTTTCGGCTGGGGCGGCAACCGTGACCAGCAGGCCATGCTCGGATATCCCATGCCCGGACAGGACGGTATCGGAATGTCCTCAGACATCATATTTTGATCCTCAGGTGTCAATTTGGATTTCTCGTACCCGTTTTTGCCGCTGAGGCCGAAAATGAAATAAAAAGTGGGATCAAATTTAGCAAAAAGGAACCAGCGCAATCACAGTGTTTTCAAAATTGTGTAACTCCTTCTTTTCTCTTAAAAATACTTCATATATGTACAGTGTCAAAATTAACACAGTTATTTACTTTTAAAAGCGACCATTTTTTTGATGGGAAGCAAAAAGTGTTTGCCATTCTGAAAGATTTTCTTTTAGATAATTATAGAGGCATAATTTTTACAACACTGTAATCGCGCTGGTTCCTTGTTGCTAAATGCGATCCAGTGTTTCAACACCAACTAAATTTTCAAAAAATCGAATTTTCAGAAAAAAAAAATGCGTTTCATTAACTGAGGAAAGCTTGCAAACCTTGACTTTCTTATGTTGTTAGAAATATAACAAGGTGGAGAAATGGTGCTGGGTTCACACCATTTCGCGGGGAAAACAAAGCCAAGAAATTTCAAAAATGAAAATTAGAGGCAAAATGAAATTTTTTGAACTCTAATAATGCGTACCAGTACGAAACTGAGGGGAAGTACGAAACTGAGTTAAAAATATATTAAGGTCATCTCTTCTTTCATGACAGAAAATTAGGTGTTGAAAATGTCATTAGACTCCGAAGCAAATTTATATTTTTCCCTTCTTTTCGACGCAAAATAATCAGATGAGTTTTATACATATAAGTAGGCGGAAGAGGACATTTAGCCCGAAAACCCTCGATAGTTGAAAAAAAGGGGAAGAGGTAATGACAGATGCGTTGTTTCAGGCTGCCAAATCCGAAAATGACCTTGATTTTACTGTATGTCGTGCACTGATTTTTCCGAAAACCAAACTTACGAGCTCAATTTACATTAAAAAATTCAATGCCACTTTTCCGGAGAAAATCTAACTAATCCAGAGAAACGGAGGTCATTTTTGGAATTAGTGCCAAAATTCTTTCTAGATCAGTTGCAAATTTTTGGGCAACCAACCCGTGTCGGCCAGTGTTATTGCCAGCGTTCTCAGCTCAAAAAGTACAAAATAAAATACGACCCAATGCAGTCAAGAGGCAGCAGAATATTGGCAAAGCAGAGGCCTACAATTTGATGGGTTAATTCAATAATAAAGAAAAAACTAAGAATTAAGAGGCCCCTTTGACGTAACGAACAATAGCGGGGACAAGAATTAGCCACCATGAAAAAACTATTGATAGAAATGCAAATAAACAATATTTGAAGTTAAGATTAAAAATTAAAATAAAAAAACAGGAAGTTTGAAATTACTGATCAATTCTTGTATTTCTTTTGTTTTAATTTGATTGTAGAAATCCGCTATGCTGCTCATTAACTGTTCCTGTGATATGATTTGCTCCCGTAAACTGCTGTCATAGAGCGAGTTTTCCTCTTATGATCCGATATGTTTGTTGTTTGCTCAGTTTTAATTGTTATTTTTCATTTAAACTTATTGCAGTATGCATAATTTTGAAGTCTATCAATAAATTAAAAAAATTGATACTGCAAAAATGTCCAAATATTTCTTCGATCCCCATTCTTTTTCCTTTGCTGGTAATTTAACTGTTGAAAAATGTAATTCAATACCCAAAATATTTTACTGATGATTTTTAACATAAATCAGCCACGCTACTTATAAAGATCTGGATACCCAACATCCTCGTTGAAGAATCCTACCTTAGCTGATACTTTAAAAATAGGAGATGTGATAATTATTTAATACATCTTTACGAGTAAAGAACACTGTAATTTTTTTAACACGAATTCTGCAATGATTAATTCGAAAAAAGGAGAAAATAAACATCACAAAGTCACCAGCTGAAAATGCACGAATGCAATACACAGTTTATAATCTAAGAATGAATCATCTGCGAACTGAAACACGTCATAAATGAAATAATTTTTGCATGGAAATCGCGAGCATTATTTCACTTGGACATTATTTTTAAAAGAAATTAAGTATCTACTCTACCAATGATTATCAACACAAAAACATACTCTGTTTTATCCCTCTTGGATGGATCGTTCATTTTAAATTATTTGTTATTATTTAATCTGTATATTTTTTCAAAAACTATTTTCCTCTCAGTATTTGGGTGCTCTGATTGGGTGAGGTTTTCTCTTTCAATCGCGGATATGCTTTTCATAAATTCAAGAAAAAAGGACGTACATAAACGAGATACTTTTGCTTGATCAAAACAAATCATCACTTTTTTAAAAATAAAATTCTCTATTACTGTCCAACTAACTTCAAGGAGAATACATTACTTGAATGAATAGAGGCTGAGACTTTAATTAATTAAATATCAGAAAATATTAGCAATCTGTTATCAATCAAATTTTCACTTTTCTAATAATTTTTTAATATACATACACGTAACAACATTTTACTTCTATCCAAGAGGATAACACTTCGGTCAATACTTCAAATTTAATTTTACCACTTAAAATATTTAGATATCTAGTTACTCGTTCTCCTTACACGTTCATAATTTTCCGAATAAAAATCTAGGCAAAAAAACCCGATGTTTTCCACGAGAGGGGCAATATTCTTTTTAAAACACCACAGGTGGTGGGAAATTTTTAAAATCTATCGTTGTAATATTTTCCGGTCCGCGTACTGTGGCCCTTCTCAATTAAGGACCAAAACTGGGATTTTATATCTACTACATAAAAATTGTAGACGTCTATTCAATCGGTATTGTTGTCGGTTAATGATTTTTCGGAAAGAAATTTGCAGATAAACTCGATAATTTGTATCGGAGGGATAGTACTTGTCTAGTAACACCACGGATGTTGCAAAATGTTTAGAATCTACCGCTGAGATGTCTCCCGCTAGAGGTACGCAGGTCCGTCCTCTCAACGAGCTAAATTTACCTGATCGGAAAACTTGGGCGGGGAACTTCTGTTTCCGCCAACGAGGATCTCAAGTGATCCAATTATTTTTAGCCTGAAAACCAGTTTACCGACCCCTATCCGTTGGCCGGCAAAAAATTTTGTCACATCCTCCGCCCAGAGGTCGTTCACACGCCCAAGAAAGCCGTATAAATACTGTGGCCGCTGTGGCCTCTTCATCAGTCTCTTTTTGAAAGCTTGCAGTGCTTTTTTTCTGTCGTCGCAGCCAACAAACCCCCAAACCTTCACCATGATGAAATACGTAAGTACTCTGCTTCTTTTAACAGTTTTTTCCCTTTGAGTGTAAGAATATCGCCGATTTACAGCCTATCTACGCATCCATACAAAATGCTCAGTCTTTTTCGGGTTTTTTAAAATCTGTGCTCAAAAAAAATTGGACAACCTTAAAATAATTCTCCCTTAAAATTTTCGTTTCCACTTCTTTTTTATTTCGCAACCTTTTACATTTTAATGCACTGGAAGACCCACAATTCTTCTAGCAAAGAAATTGCAAGTCCAGGCGTCAATAGTGGAAAATGTATTAGCTTTTAAATGAAAAAGGTTCGACACCGTTTAAATGTTTCTTTAAATTTCAAAAGTCAGCTTATTAGACATTTTCTGTTTCCGGAAAAATCCGAAAATTATTTCCACATTCAGCTCATCCTGAAGCTTTTATTTAAAATAACAGTATATACTTACAAAGAAATAAAATTATCTCTGATAATCAGTGATTTTTTTCGCACTTAAATTAATTAGAATATGGTCGCATTTCTTTTTAATTTTCAGTCAGACTAGGATCATTTTCTTGAAATCTCATTGGTATCTGATGTTTCTTCTCTTTGATGCAACTTTTTGAAAATTGTTTGCATTTTCTGATGACTTTTACTTGCTTTGAGACTAAAACGATTCTACATCTTAAAAATCATCATACTCTTATTTTGTTTCGTCGTGGTTAAATAGCCATTACTGATTCTCTTTGAAGATTAAAAATCTCTAGTCGTGACTTCGGCTATTTCTCACTGTTGTTTGTATGTTTCGTGATACCGAATTGAACCACAACATTTATTTCGTGTTTTTTCGCGGCCCTAACTAATAACAATTGCGTTAATGGTCCTTTTAAAATACCTACTTAACAAAAGCGTCTGCATCTGAGAAAGTATTGGAACCGATCCTCGTTTATGCTTTTTCTCTTCTCATTTTAATCCTGATTGAATTTTCGGAAAATATTCCGAGCAGTGTTAATCTCTGCTTTTATTCACTCCTCATACCAGCTTTTATCTGCTGCTGTTTAATGAAGGAAGAAAACTTTTTTTTTCATCAAAGCAGCAATATAAAATCAGTAAAAGCATTAAAAAGGAAGGGTAATTTTTTTCAATTTATTTTAGTCATTCATGTTTTTTTCCATTTTTCCTCCTCACATGTTTTCCTCCCCCTTTCCCCCTTTGTTTTCTCTCTGTTTTCAAGATAATTTTCTTATCACAAGCCAATGACCTGTTGAGTTACACCGACAGAATTGATGGATCAGAAGTCTTCATTTTCTTCTATTTTTTATTTCATAAAAGTTTCATCCGTCATTTTTTTTAAAACTCTTCGGTTGCCCAACATTTTTAATGTTGAGTTCCTTAAACCATTGCAATATTTCGCACATTCTCTATCAGCATTTTGGTTTTTTTAAGACGTAACAAACTATTGAAAGAAAACATAGTAATGAAACGAACCGAGCCAGAAAACCGCGAAAAACTAACTTTTTTAAATTAATGACTTCTCAATGAGCTGGAGCTTCAATGACAGCTTAAAACCAGTGTGATTATTGAACCTAAATTTTCTGAAGTCAGAACTGTTATTTTTACATTTGTGCGTTTTTGGTCCCTATTTATTTAAACAATTGGAATCCCATGATGATCCTTTATTTATCTAAGCACTTCAATGATGTAAAATTACTTAGACATTTTATGGGAAGGCACAGATGATGTAAGAGGAGACAAATTATACATTTCATCATTAAATTTTCAAAGTAATCATGTTTTTCAATTTCAGAGCATCTTTTTAAAATTTTGAAAATTTTCGTGGGTTAATTCTCACAGTGAATCTGAAAATTTTATCTTCCGGCTTTTTATTCCTTAATTTTGATGCTGCTTACAAATCACTATTCTTAGTACTACTGTCTCGTTTTCGTTCAAACGTGCCTTCCTGCCTTTCAGCGGGCTGATTGTTGAATTTGATAGACATAGCGATAGACAATGAAGACATAGGGAGTATGGAACTATCCTATCGGTTGAAATAGGCGGTTCTTACAGACTGAGGGGGTAAATGATGGACCACCTATCGGGTCTCTCGTGGGTTGCGTTAGTTAGGCTATCATACCTACGTCCTTTGTGCATTGCAACCACCCGCCTCCACCAATAGGATTCCACCATATCCTTTTTGTTTTCTTTGTCTATCTCTTTGTCTACCAATTCCAACAATAAGCCCGCTGTTCCTCTATTCTTCATTAAGTATAAGTGTAAATTATACAACCATGATTTTAACTATTATTCGTTTGCAGGTCGTTGCTCTTTTCGCCCTCATCGCCGCCGCCGCCGCCTACCCCTACGCCTACACCAGCCCCGCTGCTGTAGCTTACGCCTCTCCAGCTTACGTCGCCCCCGCTGCTACCTACGCCGCCTACCCATACGCCGCCGGTGCCTACCCATACGCCGCCGCTGCCTACCCATCCGCTGCCTACCCATACGCCGCCGCCGCCTACCCCTACGCCGCCTACCCCTACTACAAGAAGTGTAAGTTTCATTCTGAAGTTCTCCAACTAACCCCCCCCCCCCCACTAGGGACCGCTAATAAAATAGGTTTCAGGTTTAGAACAGATATAACCTGGATACACCCACTAAGTGACTGGAGATTTTACTTAGTTTAAGAAAGCACGTGATTTAAAGAGGTCAAAATCATGGAACCCTCAGATTTGAATTCTTTCAAAATAGCTCCTTTTTAAACTTTTTTCACGGTACTCTTGATAAAATGGAGTGAAATGTTCACTTCAGAAACTTACTTTCAGAATCAGTATTTTTGAGTGTCAGTTCATAATGATCACAATGGAAGATTCGACTAATGAATTTGTAGATTTATCTTTTCTCTACTTCCGTCCCATTTCATCCAAGAGGCCATAGTGCTAGTTTAGTGGCCAAGCTAGTTAGTGGCTAGTTAGTGGCTAGTTAGTGGCCAAGTTTAAAAAGGAGCTATTTTGAAATAATTCAAATCTGAGGGTTCCATGATTTTGACCTCTTTAAATCACGTGCTTTCTCAAACTAAGTAAAATCTCCAGTCACTTAGCCTTGGTTACAAAGAGGCGTACGCACAGGAAAATATTATACCATCCCCCTCATAGTTCATTAAGTTTTTAATAAAATGCTTCACCGGTCGAATGTGTCATTTTAACTTGTAGAAAAACAATTTGTGGGTGGTTTCTACTTGCAATTACATTTTGTCTTGTACTTATATGAAAGTGCATTTCAATGTCAGAAACTAACCCTTGACTAGGAGACGCGGTCCACGTCCAATTTTATTGTATTGTGTTGTCAACTTTATAATGTTTTCCTTTATTTTTTGTTACAGAAATGATCCTCCCACGAACTCAATAGCCGCCAACTCCGATGCCCTTGAAAAAAGCCTGCCAGAGTCAAGACTGTGCATTCAAAATGCAAATTTTCCTCAAAATTTTCGATTCCAAACAGATTTTCTAAAGTTCTATCAAAAATTTGAAAGCGATTTCAATTTTTGTGCTCAGCTTTTTCTCCAATAAATTCAACCTTCACCACTCAAAATTTGTAATTTTTTTTCAAGACATACAATTGTTCTGACCTATTCAACCTACCTCCGAAAAAAACTAGAAAATTGCTTAACTTCATGATCCGAAGAGAGAAAAATTCCTCTTTACCCACTTAGACATCGAGCCGCATCCCCTGATAAAAAAATAAATTAAAACTATTATTCCATTCACTCTCTCATATCACTTCAATTCCTCACATTGAGTTCATATTTTGGGAATTTTGAAAAATTTGGTCAAGTTTATTTAAAATCTATTGAAAAAAAACACAAGTTCATTGGATTGCATTTTGCAAAAAGGAACCAAGAGCATTGCAATGTTGCTAAGATCATGCAACTTGATCCATTGCAATCTAACTATTGAAATCATGTAAAAATAGGAAATGTAGATGGTAATTTTTGTCTTAAATTTACAGTTTTTGGGGAGTAAAATAGAAACTGTTTATAGACGATCAGGTTTTTCGTCCAAGACAAGAGAAGTTGCACAATCTTAGCGACATTAAAATGCTCCTGGTTCTTTTTTGCAAAATGCAATCCAATTTATTAAAAAAAATAATAATAATTACATTTTGAAAAAAGCCGTTTAAAATCTGTAGGAATAGTCTCGAACAGGGTAAATATATAGGGCATGATAAATTATTATCAACAGCCAAAAGTAGAAGGGTTGCAACCGTTCTTCAAAATGCCTCTAGTCTCCTTTTTCTTTGTATTCTTATTACTCTAAATACTATTATTTTACAGAGAGACGCTTTTGCATAAAATGTGAAAAAGATGTGAAGTTACACTATTCAACTTTCAGCCATAAAGAGAGCGTGGTCTCTTATCCGAAAATGAAAAATAGGTTGTCTTTGAATAGTTTATCGATGTATGAAAAAATAAACAAATACACCTCAAATAAATAAACAAAAAACTCAACGTTGAATACGTCTTTGAACCATAACGTGGAGAATGTAATGAAACTGTAAGACTGATGAATACGAGATAACTAAAAAAATAGCGGATTTTCATCAACACCAAGAGACAGACATTTTGAGGGTTCTTCTCCAAATTTCCGTAGGATGTTTGATACACTGCACTTATAATTGCTTCCATCACACTGAAATCAAATAGTCTGTTCCAAAGACGATGAAGCACAAAAACATAGCCCGAATATACGAATAAAGAGGAGATTTAATTAAAATATTGGTAAACAAGGCTAAAAAATTATTAAAACACTAAAAGGCAGGACGTTTCGAGCTGTTTTAATGTTTAAAGCTGTTTTAGTGTTTTAATCATTTTTAGCCTTGTTTACCTATATTTTAATTAAATCTCCTCTTTATTCTGTTCCAAAGTAAATATGATGTCCAAGCACTATTTTCAGTTCAATTTGACGTTACAGGTGCCCGTTCCATAACGGCAAGAAAGAAAATTCTGATTTGAAAATATATCTCGTGGACGTACTTCTGCCAAACGGAAGTATGTGCATTAAGACATGAGCCCTGAGACCCATACGAATATAGTTAGTTAGTTACTTAGTATATCTTAAGACATGCAGCGTCACAGACTATTAACGTCTTTAGCGTAACAGGGCTTACGTCATAATGTACATAGTTCCGTTTGACAGAAATACGTCCTAATGTGACTCCAGGGTTCGTGGTAACTCATTCATTCGAGTACATCGTGGCCGTTCCGATATGAAAGACGAATCATCGATATCAATAAGAATCTTATGGCATTTATCTATCTGTTTTTGACTTCATATTTAAAATATTTGTTTCAAAATTTGATCAATTAATTGCAAGACATTTTTCTACTTCTTCTGAATTCGATTGTGCTAGTGAGTTGGAAAAGTACATACTAAAGTTCGGTGTTCTTTTTGAGTCATCAGAGAAACCGTTTGTGAAATTTTTTCATTGTTTCTGATAAAACCATAATGATTTCTGAAAAATTGAGGTATACCTTTTCTATTTTAATTGTTACCCTATCCGAACATACCTAATTTCACTCCTTATCTTTACCAAGTTTCACTCACATTTGCCCTAAAAAATTCTTTCAAATGATCAAAAGTATTGGCCAATTTATTTGGGGCCCTTGCCTTTCCGAAAGTAAATATTAGTTTCACAGTGTACCGTCATGTGTTATTGCACTACTGTTTTTTCTCCATTTAAATGTACGTAAAACGATCGATTCTTTGTGAAAGAGCTTGTCTGACTTAAAATCGATATTTTTAATGGATTTAAATTGAGGAACAACAGTGTTGCCAACTTGAAAAATCGCCTATGTGTCGTTTTGTGCCTAAGAAGAACACCGAACAAGCTTCTCAATGTTGCAGAATTTGCTCCTATGAAAGTGGGGAATATCTCTCATTAAATTTTTCAGAAATTTTTGCACAGGCTCCGATTCAAGTTTTCAATTAAAATTAATGTGTTCTCGACTATTCATTATTACTTTATCAGATGAACCTATTTCACGTTCCCCAATACGGGATTTCCCTTAGGTCAAATGAGAGCATTTTTCATCTAGGCGCACCCCATACGAGGGATTGCAAGTCCATTCTAGGGTTGCAAAATTGACTCACGAAATTCAATTTTTCAATAAAGAATATGATTGCATGCAACGTCTTTCCGCAATTTCGTTACTTTTTGAGTGTGATCAACAGAGAAATCGGTAATATTTCTAGCTCGGAACACTCTGCACTTTCCGCCACTTTTCTGCGGGTGGATTTGTTCCAACGTTGAAATGGACGTATTTATGCTAAAAAGAACGATGTTAAAATGAATTAAATTGAATGGAACTGTGTGCGCAGGGTTTGCGTGGTACACAGTTCAGTTATACTCTATTCATTTGCACAAAGGTTCGTTCAGCATAAGTAAGTCCAAATAAAGTTACGTCTTCTCTGGGAAAGGAAGAATTGTGTGAGAGTGGTTGCATATATGGTTGCGTTCTCGCCTCAATGAAGGCGCTTTTTGCGCGCCGGTCAGAAATCCTCTCCGGGTTGAATGGCCTCTTCAAGTTTGGGCGAAAGGCAAGACTCAGTGTCACACTTGTTCATGTCGAACATTGTTGCTGAGTAGTGCTAAAAAACAGCACTTTACCCTCTTATAACCCCACGTTAAACATTCATTTTTTACTGCACTGTCTGGGAACCTTGGTGTCAGACTGGAGTGCAAGTTCGTTGTTTTGACTCATATCCTATACTTTATGGGATTACGCGTCTCACAGTGGATCGAGCCAATGGGAGCAGCTGGATATGATGTGAAAATTTCAAAGCTTATATATTCGTTATTCCGAAGTGTAAAAGGCTGTTTAATTGGTTTTCTCTTAAAAGTGTCTTCAAGAATCACACCCTAAAATGTATTATGTAAGGTACTAAGCATCAAAATTTGTAGTTAGCGAGAGGAAATTTAGGACTGATCTCTCCCTATGACTCGTTCCAGTGTATGACTGATCAGGCGATTGACCCTGCTGTGGGTGGGGCTCACGTGTGCCCGTCGCACAATGGATCGAGTTGATAGGAAAGGTCGGACAAAATTTGGAAACTTTAAACGCTTATAACTCCGTTTTTACAAGACTCTGAGGTTCTAAAAGTGCATGGTTCCATTGGCTTTCTCGTGAAATTTTCTTTCAGGAGCAACCATTTTAAAATGCGACGAAATAAACATCCAAATTTGCAGTTTCAGTCAAAAATTTCATGTCCGACCTCTCAAATTGACTTGATCCACTGTGCGTCGCCAATCGGATAATCGGCTTTTCATACCCACATCCATTCGTTAACTCTTCCTCGTCCTTCTGCCACAAATCCCAAAAGTCTGTCTGCTAATTCCAACAGAACAAAAAAAAACTGTGACTGTACTTTCAGGACCTGTCAATATCGACAACTTTAGCCTTTTATCTTTTTTCGGCTTATTCGGCCACTTTTCAAACATGTCACCATTGAGTCCAATTGACTAAAAAAGAAACATAAACTTACCGTTACATGAATGAATTTTTATTTTATATTACTTTCTAAACGGATCGGTATTTCTGAGACGACACCTGATAAACATAATTCATAACAGAAAGCACCTAAGGGCCTAAACTAATATCGTAATGCATAGGTATAGACTCGATACATTTTCCAATAAGGCAAAAATACATCGGAAAAAGAAGCTCAAAAATATGTCATCATATGAAAGAAAACGACGCAATGCCCCACTACCCCTGGCAAATGGGAACGAAAGTAGGCCTTACCTTGGAAAATGTTGATTAGTTTTTTTAAAAAGTGATTTTTATGTAATTTCGGTCGCTGAACACGAATTAGCCACCAAACAAGGTTTAAATTACATCAATTCAGCGCATATTTCTCTTTAAAATATAACTTAAAAAAAGATTTTCACAACGTGAAGTTCAGAAATCAACTCCTGAAGAAGTTATTAGCAAGTACTCTTAATGCAGATTTAATGGGTTGCATTTTGCAGAAAGGAACCAAGAGCATTGCAATGTTGTTGAGATTGTACAACTTCTTTTGTCTTGGAAGGAAAATCTGTTCATCTATAAACATTCTCTATTTTACACGCCAATAATTGTAAATTTAAGACAAAATTACCATGTAAATTTCATATATTTGTATGACTACATTAGTAATATTGCTAAGGGCGAACTTGCACGATCTCAACAACATGGCGATGTTCCTGGTTCCTTTTTGCGAAATACAATCCGAATGAAAGTTACATCATACAAAAATTTCATTTTCTATTTTTACCATTTAACAAATATTAATTGTCAACATGTAGGATTTGATTCCTAGACTACCCGTTGTGTGATTCGTTTTCCTCATGAAATTTTGAAGAGGAAACATACAGAAGCATTGTGTGGTTGTATTTCATATCTTGTCTCGAGGCCGATTGTTGATTGAACCTATTGTTGACTCATATTGATTGAAACGAGTGACTTTTATAGACCAAAATAGAAAATGATGGACTGACTATAAGGTCTCTTATCGGTTGCCCTTAATTAGTCAGTTACTTACATTCTTTGACCATTACAAACCGCTCATAGTGTCGAACTGATCATAGCGCCTTAATGCAACTATTCGTGCACCATGGATGTCCATGTTGCATACTCAAAAGTTGAAGGCGTTTTGGTTTTTTCTGCCAACTCTTACACCGCGTCGCGTCGCTGCGCTGCTGTACGATCTAAGGAAAGTAGCAGTGGCGAGCCCTTAATGATTTACGAATTTGTGTGTTGATTATTGTGATTGATGGACAAAGCAATAGAGAAGACAACGGAAAAATGGAGCGAACTGATTGGTTGAAACGGTTGGTTGTTATGACTGAAGAGGAAAATGATTGACTAACTATATGATTTCTCGTGTATTGTCCATAAGTAGCCTATTACTTACACCCATCTCATTCCAACCACCCACTTCCACCGCTGAGGTTGCTCAATTTTCCTTTTACCTCATTTGTCTACCGCTTTGTCTATCAATTCTAATAATCAGTCCGCATGCCAGGCTACGTTTATTTGGAATGAAACCAGATTTGTCACCCACTGTGATCCGATCAGTGATTTGGACTCGGATCAGTGATGTAAATATTTTCTTCCACTCTCTTGAAAATAATCTCTTTCCCTCTCTCTCCATCTCTCTCCTTCCCTCATGCATGCGATTTCCAAAAAATGCATGAGCCTCTGAACCGACTTCCACTCCTTGAGACAAAAGAGCCCTTCACCCCTTCCTCCCGAAATCGAGATGATGCTGTAAGAAAAGCGAAAAGATTCAACCAGTTCCCCATTTTTAATTATGCATCCTTATCTGAACACAAACCCGAACCAGCTGCGCGATTGTTGCCAGATATAGAACTGAAATTTCAGCACTTTCCCCCATTTGAACCATGTAAAATATCTGTATTTAATTGCACAATCTGACAGCTTTGATTGGCCAGTATAGAGGAAAATCTCGACATTTAAATTCAGTATGAGCCCCGAATCTAATTAGAAACCACTTCTTCGGCGGCTCAATTGGAGATATTGAGTGTTGTTTTTCTGGGTGATGTTAAACCAAGAATGGATGGAGGAAATCGAAGGAATTCTGCTGCGGCAAGCAAGAACATCCTATGAACATTCAAGCGTTACCAAATCTCATCACATAATCAATAATTTGTAAAATCAATTGTAATTTGACGCTAAAACCGCTGATGCTTATACCAGGCAATTTAATGATTTTTACTGCCGTGTAACAGAAGAAACAAACGTCTAAATTTTGAATATTGAAATTCCTTCAATTTTCACCGATTTAAAGTGGATTATATTTAATAGTAAATGAGAAAAAACACTAAGAAATGACCCGAACTATTAGTGACAAGGCGTTGAAACGGTGCTGGGTTCACACAATTTTCCCCCGCAAAATGGTGCGGACCCAACACCACCACAGTTGTTTAATAGTGAATCAAAGTAAAACTCACATCAGCCAAAACAGCAGAATATGTGCATGTTTGTAAAAAACGAGAGTTGTGAGGAAGCAGTAAGTGCGGAAAAATTGAAGTTCATTTAGAAAGAAACCAGCAGTAAGTCCATATTTTCCCTTGATAGAGCTGCACTAACTGCTGTTTTCAGTAAAATGATATCAGCTAACAGGCAGATTTCCAACCTTACAATTTTAAATCAACTGAACAATTTTTTAGAGTATTTTGATAATTCTTAATTTTACGAAAAACGGAGAATTCGTTCAATCATATTTCCGATCGGACGTGAAAAGTCTATTTTCTCAAAAATTGATTTGTGCATTTACTGCATTCTTTAACAATACAGCATTATACCTGTGAGGTACTTCATAGGAAGCAGCAGCTCGGTGCAAAAAAAATTCTAACTTAAGATATTTGCACCATTGCAGAGAGGAGAAACTTACGATCATTTTGTCACAAAACGCCAAAAAAGTATGAAATTAAACTTGAGTTACAAGTTGAGATTTTGCACTTAACAAACCCTAGTTTTCAGATTAAGCTATTTAAAGTTAAGCATGCTGGTTTAGTGGCCCAAAGTTGTTGGATTAAGTGTAATTCTACACTTTCCATCTGCACTAATAATCGAAAAAACACTCAATTAGGTTCGTAGAGTAACGCAGAGTGTTATACATCGAAAAATTAAATTCCAAATTTTTGCGCCAATTTGACAATAATTATTGCATTTGTAAAATGTTTGCATCCCATAAATGGCGATACAAAGAAATTTCGCGAACAAATAAATTTAGATATATTTTAAAAATAAATGTCACCTCTTATGAATTTTGGCAACATACATATGCGCATACAACGTTCTAACCAAAAACGATCGGTCCCGAATATTCGATTTTCCTTCTCCAGACTGAACCAAGATAAGGTTTTCTCGGCTTAAAAAATTAAGGAGCTTCTTCTCAAAGCGTTATGTTGATTCATTCTTCTCGAATTTTCTAAAATCCGGTTTGGAATCTTTTAGTTCACCACCATCCCTCTTCTCCGCAATCCATCCAGAAATTGTATAAAAAGAAGACGAAAGTCTCATTGTCTCACCAGTAATTAAACGCAGTGTGTGATTCTCCATCAAACTATACAACTAAATTCATCAAACCCTCATCATGTTCAAGTTGGTAAGTGTTAGAAGCCTAATACGTACTTAAGTCAGTGATGTATACTCCCTGTTTGACGATAATAATGGAGAATATATTAATCAGCAAAATCATTGTTAATTTTTTATCTGTTTGAAGTTTATTTTTGACAGGTTTTTAGGATGACATCCTTACTTTGGAAGCACTTGAATTTTTCCGTTATTTTTCTTTCTTTCGATGCGTGTTATTTTAATCCAAAATGTTAACGATTTGTTAAAATTCAAGTTATCGTATACTTTGATTCCTTTTTTCGGGTAAATGCAGTGTTTTCGAGTGACGACCTGATTGGTTAATGGCAACTTTTCTACATTTACCAATTATACACACCAGAGTGATCCGATTGAGTACACATTTTACAACATTTTTCAAGAAAGGCGCAAAATGTTGAACTCCTAATTTAAAACTACCTAAGCGAAACAGATACTCAGTTTTGAGCGTTAAACTATCAGCAAGTTTGTTGCTGGCGCAGAGGCTTTTACAAAGTGAGTGTTCATATTAGGTAGCCCGATTGAATAAAATGAACACTATAATAAGATTCTTTCCTCATTAATCACTTTGCCGGTGTAGCGTAAATTATTTCCTATGAAATTATCCAAATTTATTCGTAAGAGAATTCCAAGTTCGACTGCAGGTGAAAGGTTAAATGATCTTTGTAGGATTTTTCGAAAAGTAAATTTTTAGTTAAAATATTAAACGGGACCTGTTGGCCGTTTATTGAGAGTTTAAAGCAGCCGATAAGACCTCAACATTTTCATGCTCAATTCTGACTCACTGTCTTTCCAAATAGTTTCCAACTGAATTTTGTATATGAGACACCCAATAAAGCCGCTTGTACGCACTCATTAACGCTTTGTAAATTTAACCGCTAAAACCCCGATCCTCCAAAAGCTCCTCAGGGAGCTACCCGAATAAAAAAGGGCGGTAGTTGTCACCGTAGATTCCTGCTTATATTTTTGATCTATAGGAAATCGAGTAGCCAGTACTAGATTGTTGTCAATGATCTGTTCACGTTTACTACCCGAGTGCTAATCACTGCCAGAAATCTAGTACTGGCTGTTAGATTTCCTAGGTTTCATATTATCAGGAACCCACTAACATCTAACATTCCTTTTCTGAATGGCAGCGGCACTTGGTATGGTAGTTGCATTGAGCAGTTGGTATGGTATTGACATGTGCGGAGGATGACCGATACCAGGTTCCTGAAAGAGGTTTTTGTGTGGGTTCCTAGAGGTATACGTAGTAGAGGGCGCCCAGCTAAAAATTGGATAGATGGCACCCAAGGAGAGGTTGAAGGATGGCAGCCTCCTTAAAATGTCTACCTTTACAGATTCTAATGGCATGTAGGTGTCGCAGAGCGTCCCGGTGCGCTGTAAAATCGACTGCTATATACATCGATAGTCTTAGTGCGAAACCACGTGTTTCCGTTTGCAACGTTATAGATTTCCTGTCATACTTTTACGCAATTTCTAGGAAACTTCCTTGATTTTTCCTCTCTGTTAAGGGAATGTTCCGTATTAATTTCAAGCCCTACCGTCGCACAGTGGATCGGTCGTCGGGGTCATTTGGATCAGAGGGGTCTGACATGAAATATTTGATTAAAACTGCAAAAGTTGGTGTTTTTTTCGTCACTATTTTTTCAAGGGGTACTTCTAGAGGAAGATGTCGTGAGGAAACCAATGCATGGAACCACTTTTAGAACCTCAAAGTTTTGCATAAACGGAGTTATAAGCGTTTGAAGTTTCCAAATTTTGTCCGACCTCTCCTATTGACTTCATCCAATGTGCGTCGGTGTCTTTATCTCCGAATCTAAATCAGGAGCGGAAATTTTGGAAAAATCTGATGAAGATAAGTGGTTTCGCAATTTGGCCATCGTCATGCATGCAGGATTTCAGGAGATTGGATTTGTATTGCTCTACATTAAAATGTCTTCAATTATTTCCGTCTTTATTTTTATTTAATTTTTTTATTGTCTTTATCTATCTGCACACTCCGCCTACGCTGCTCCCGTAGCCCACCACGCTGCTGTTTACTCCGCCTACGTTGCTCCCGTAGCCCACCACGCTGCTGATCATCACACCGCCTACGCTGCTCCCGTGGCCAATTATTTTTATTTTTTTATTAATAATTATTATTTCATTATTTCTTAGGTCGTTGCTATCTTCGCCGCTGTCGCCTCTTTGGCCTCCGCTCAATACGCTGTCTATAAGCATGCCCCCTACCATCATGGCGCTCCCGTAGGCTACGCCGCTGACTCCGCCTACGCCGTCCCTGCCGCCCACTATGTTGCCGCTCCCGTAGCCCACCATGCTGCTGCACACTCCGCCTACGCTGCTCCCGTAGCCCACCACGCTGCTGTTTACTCCGCCTACGTTGCTCCCGTAGCCCACCACGCTGCTGATCATCACACCGCCTACGCTGCTCCCGTGGCCAACCACGCTGCTGTTCATCACACCGCCTATGCTGCTCCTGCCGCATACGCTGTCCCTGTCACCCACCATGCTGGTCCTGCCGCCCACCATGATGCTTCAGTCTCGCACCATGGTTCCGCTGCCGCCCACCATGGTGCTTCAGTCTCTCACCACGGTGCCTCCGTCTCCCATCATGATGGTTCAGTCTCCCACCATGATGTCTCAGTTTCCCACCACGATGCCGGTGCTGAACACACTCCTGTCGTCTCCGCCTACCACGGCGCCCATCATCAAAGCGCATACGTCAAGAAATGTAAGTATTGCCACATCTAAACAAGAATCCCGGAATTTGTCTCAGTGAGTTAGTTTGAAACTATTTTCAGAGCGAAAAAAAATAAATTAAAAAATAAAAAAAAATTGGTTTTAAACGAGAGTGTCTCAAAAATTACGACGAGTACATTAGAAAGTTCGACATGAATTCCTAAGTACACAAAAAGTTACGATACTTGTGCATTTTTGAGCTTCCGCTCTCAAACGCGAAATTTGTAAATCATAGTATCCGATTAGGCGAGTTTTGGAAATATTTGATTTCCTTCAAAACGAGGCAAGTTCATTGAATGAGCCGGAAAATCTTACACAGTATGATTTTCTTAGTGCATTTCAAGTATGGCTGTCTAGTTTACGCAGAATGAATAATAAGGAAGGATTGTTTACTCTCAGAAAAATTAGACGTACTTATGATGAAAGGAAATATGTTGCATGCAAACCCTATGTACACAGTTTCTTTAAGCACGAATACGAGTAATTGGACTAAATTTTGCAATTTGGAACTATAATCTCTAGCCCGGTTTAAAAACGACGTATGTGCCATTAGTTTCCCTAGGCAAATAAGTGTTTTTCCAGAAGAGCCAGAATTTATAGTTCCAAAATGCAGTCCAATTGATGCTACGGCATCTTTACGATCAAAACAGTTATGTTATGTGATATTTCGAAGAGAGCATTTGTTCATTTGAAAAAATTGCGTGACAATCTCAGAAAGTGCGTAATATTTATTTCCTTTAATAGAATTGTACTTGAAAAAAAGATACTTAGTAATAATATCAACGCTAATGCATTTAATTCTCTCTGTTTCAGAAATGGAGTAAGCCACAATTTTCATCTTGCAGCCACCGACTTGTTCCTTCAATTAAATTCAAATTTCTGACATAAATATTCTATGAGTTAACTCTCAAAAGAATATGTTTCACTTCAATTTTTCAGTTATATCGCAATAGTCCTACAATTTCAACGAGAACCAAAAAAATAAATCAATAAAAACAGAGTCAACACCAAATCTGTGTTTTTTGTTTAAAGGGATCACATATAATTTCCTTCAATATTCTTCGTCTTTTTCACCGAAGTTGTGACTGAAAATTTTAGAAACCACAACCGAGTTAAACATGTGAGGCATGCTTTTGGAAGTTGTTGCTTTTTAATTTTGCTGTTGAAATTCTCAACGTTGAAAAAATTCAACGTCATACCTCCCAAACTTCCCTGGTCTCTGTGTATGAAGGAAAGTGCATATGAATTATGACACAATAGCGTTGATTTGATCTCATAAAATCTATGACATACGGAGATTTCAAAACACATGCCACGCTCGTCCTCGCAATTCCACTCTTAATATGCTTAATGTACAATAATTTTACACATTGAGCCTTAGAGCTGATTTTTAGGCTTCAATATCAAAGGAAAAGATTATTTTGCATTTAAATTGCCATTTAATGTATGCACTTTGAAGGCATATCCGTTAAGGCCTAGGGCATTTTACTTGATTAAAGGGTTCTCTCCCGGCCGCTACGCAGCCCAACCACCCAAAAAGCGCCTCGTGCCCTTATGGAAGCATCTCGTGATGATAAAGGTATATATGTCATAACTGACAACATTATCACAGTGAGTTCATCCAAAGACTTTTACTTGCATATGGACTGCATTTTGCAATTTGGACCTATAAATGCTGGCTCATCGGAATAAACACTTATGTGCATAGGGAAACTAATGGCACATACGTTGTTTTTAAACCGGCCCGGAATTTATAGTTCCTAATTGCAAAATGTAGTCCAAATAGGCAACGCACACTGTGTAATTTGACCGGCTCCAGTGGCGAGGAATGAATTATTGATTATCAAAATCTCTCCGTTTGAAGCTGCGGTAAAGAATCGATTATTAAGGTGTTCGTTGCGAACACCCTGTTTATCGATCCTTCTCCATAGATTTAAAAAGTAGATTAATCTATAAATCGCAAAGTGTGCCACGCCACTGGCCGGCTCTTAAGGTATATTTACAGGGGGAAAATTCAAATTTAAGGAATAAGTAATTTTCTATTATAATATTGAAAGCCCCATACTTTCTTCAATTTAGTTTTCTTGAGTTTCCTAGATTATGCATACGGAATTATGAATTCGTAGGATTATGTTCCTCCTCATTTGCAGCATCAAAAACTTGAGATGGAGGTGCAGGGAGCGAATGGCATGTCTTTGGCAGTGACGTGGTGTGATTGCAACACACCTATTGATCTGCCATTTAAACCTATGAAAAGGATCGATGAGCAGGGTGTTCGCAAGGAACACCTTAATAATCGATTCTTTACCGCAACTTTTAATGGGGAAATATCGTTAATCGATCATTCACGCCTCAGAGCTGGTCTGTGGGCAGATTGTCCGTCGTCAAGGTGAAAGAACCTGTGAAAAAACTGCGGCACGCCCAAAATTACTATTCGACCGTCAACAGGCGCATTACATAGTTTTAAATTTCGGCCGTTCGGCCATAATTAATTGACTGGGCTCTCTTATTGTCCTGTTTTGTGTCCTATACTGCCGTGCTAAGAAAGAACGCCGTATAAGCTATCTGACATTGCCAAATTTCCTACGACAAATCACGAATTTTTAAGAGACTTTGTGAATATTTGTTTCCCAATTTTTAGAGAATTCCGTTCGTAATTTGATGTAAAAAGTCTGAAAATTTGAAGGTAAAATGTTCATATTATTCTTCAAAAATGAATATTTTTCGAAGGTAAATTTGGTAACATTGGAGTGCTCATACAGCGTTTTTACTTCGAAGCCGAGGATTTTTGGACAATCGTTTCAAACATTAGAAAATAATTTAATAAGAAGTGCAAAAAATCGTCGTGAAGAATTCGGTGTGAAATCTTCACTGCAGATATAATTTTGACATCCTACAATATTTGGAAAAATTATGAAAAATTGATTTGTTCAACTGTAAGTTGATTTCACGATAAAAGGAACAGTCGTGTCGCCGTGGGTTATTGACGAATTAGGGCAAAACGATTAAAAACAAAGTTGATAAATCAATAGGATTGATGTCCCTGAACTTATCAATACTAAAAAGCATGATGAATTATGGTTGTATTTACTAAGATGTGACTTTAAAAGCCGAAAATGTCCGGTCGGTCACGCGCCGCCAACCCCAATTTTGAAGCAAAAGAGCAATTCGATGTAGTAAATCAGCACTGATCATGGATTCTTTGGCAATATTCAACACCTCTGTATTGATGTTAAGAAAGCGGATGTGTTTAGAATTTGTGTGATTTTATTTGCCTCAAAATTATTAATGGAGGTACTATATGATCCATCAAAATTTATGGCGGTTTTGGTTATTTTTTAGAGGGTTCGAGGCCCTATGTTAAAATCTGGAGAGTCGTAGTACATAATTTACCGTAACGGGGCTTGTCTAATGTACATAGGATGGAAGAAAACACGTTTTAAGGGTGTCGCAAATTATTAAGAGCACTGTGCTAGACCGCGGTAAAAACTGTCTTTTTTTAAGAAAAAGAAGAGTTTCAGATATCGTTACTTTTATAACTTCATTGAATTTTTAAATATTTTATGGCTTGATCACACCATGACTAAATCGTACAAGTTACTGATACTCAAGTGTTTCTAGTCCGCACGTTCAGGATAGATTTAAAATTATTTAATTACATTTTTTAGTAAAAACTCCCTAAAAAAATTCTCCAGTGCAATACGTTTTTAACTAAAAAATTTTGCATATGATTAGCGTGGACGACACGATTATCAGCATAAAACGACATGACATTTTGATATGTTAGTGGAACTACTCGCGCCTTCAAAATGTGGCCTCAACAGCCACACGTTCAGGTATGCGTGGCGGGTTTCATGTGTTCAGGCGTATGCATGCGGCTCTCTGTACAACCGGTGGTAACCGGGCGGATACAAGTTATGTCCAAAGTTTATGTGCTTTCCCCCACTTATAAAGACAGGACGAAATGCCGTCTTCACAAAGTCAAATAATTCTACACTGAATTGTACATTAAAGCTATATGAACTCAATATCGATGTTTTATACAACGATGAAGATTTTATTCTAACATTTCATTCTACACTCATACACTCAGAGTGTATGTTGAGACTGAGCCAAGGGTACAATTTTTAATTTTAAATCCCTCGTTTAATCATAAATAATTATTTTCAGAAGTTTCAGCCCTTAACTTCCAAATGCCCATACTCCTAACTTGAGCGAAGAAAAATAATGTTGAATGTGTCTCAGATGTGTGTGTGTTAGATGAAAACAAATCACAAATAAAATTAAAAGAGGATTATGTTGAATGGATTAGAAAATTTGAAACCCCACTTTTGTTCGTGAAATCTCCGCAATTTTAAATTTCTCCTGTTCACGGGCTCTATTGTTCTTGGTCGCTGACAACTAGGTTTGCAGCAAAAGGGAAGAAAATAAACTATAAGTTAAAAAAAAACAATCTTGCAGGCTGTTATCAATAATTTTCTCACGTGTCACGTGTAATTACAATAAAATAAATAAAAAATTAAAAACAATTTAAAACAAACTAATTTAGAAGCAACGGAAAAAGTAAATAATGTCAAACGATTAAAAAAAGTAAGGAAGATTGATAACAGCTTGTAAGATTGTTTTTTTTTTTTTTTTTTTTTTTTTTTTTTTTTTCATTTCAGTAAGCGAGGATTTTTACATCTTACTCTCGGGAAACTTAATTGCAGGTAACTGCATGAGAGAAATATTTCTACGAATATAGGTCATTCTAAAATCAATCGTGTTACCTTTATGAATGGTATGGACAAAAAATAAACTTTAGACTTTTATTCTGACGTGCTCATCGCGATTTTAGTATGACTTGACCCAAAAAAGCTTGTCGTAGATCTCTTAACCACTGGAAAAAAAACCACATTGGATCTAAAGCCCAGACTCTTGAAAACGTTGACAAGAAAAAATACTCTTGATTCAATCGGATTTTTGCTTGCATCAAAACGAAATCTGCTTAAGAGGCTTGGTTCTTGGTTTAAGCTAGATTCTGATTGAATCAGGAGTACTTTTTCTTGTCTATGTTTTTAAGAGTCTGGACTATAGATCCAATGTGTTTTTTTTTTTCCAGTGAGGGCCGGACTCACGTTCAAAGTGAAGCTTCAAAGTGGTGGTTGTTTAGTCAAAAGTTGATTGATGAGCATCAAAGCGGGCCGCTCTCCTTTGAAGCGCATCAATGGCAGCACTTGACTGAACAGTCATCACTTTGAAGCGATCACTTTGAACGTGTGTCCAGCCCTTTATCAACCAAAACTTCTTCCTCGCCCTTTCCTCCACGCAAACGATTGCGATTGACTAAGAACGTCGAGTCAAGTGTCAAACCCAAAGACGTATTAGTTTCCATTCATCTCTGCTAGAAAATGTAAACTGAAAAATGCAAAATTTCCTTCCTCTTTGATACGACAAGTGCACATCTATGAAGTTCGCCGAGAAGGTTAGTGCTCTTAGATCATCACTTTAAGTCGAAAATAACCATCGCATATACTTATCAATTATTCTATTACTCCGTTCTCTGTAACGGTTGCTACTTGCCGGAGGTACAGGGTGTGATCATTTTAAACGAGCCCACTTATACAGGTTGATAATTGTTACAAGTTCCTCTGATGCAACAACTCAAGAGGACTCTTGTCGGGAAGATAACGACATGACGATTGACGGATAACCCAGGAGGGGGGCAGGGGGGCTCATCAGCCACGTCATCAACATTTTATCAAGGGCAGGGCAATCTTGTCGATACTTGATGCTCGATTACACAACTCAATGTTAATAAATTTTTCACCTGAGGAAGTAAGAAAGTGCAGATAAATTCTAATGGACTTTCTCTTTACGTCGAGGAAGAGCTTTACTTAAAACAATACTAGAAGTGGATACAAGGATGCGAAAGAAGTCTACTTGCAATGTAAATTTTATGCAAGTGGATTTCTTTCTATTATATGGATTGCATTTTGCAAAAAGGAACCACTAGCATTACAATGTTGCTAA